CAAAGCTACAAAAACATAACAAAAATGTGAGTAAAAACAATTCTACCAACACATACAATGTGGTAAAAGGTACGAATAACAATAATACCAACCCATACCATATGCTAAAGACTCATACCATGTGGTAAAGACTTCTGAGAACAAAAAAAACCTTGTTACCAACCCATACCATATGGTAAAAGACTTTTAAGAACAAAATAACCTTGTTACCAACCCATACCATATGGTAAAAGACTTTTAAGAACAAAAACACAATGCATACCAGCCCATACCATATAGTACAAACTTCTAACAACCCAAAAACCACCTCAAATAACCTTGTTACCAACACATACCATATGGTAAAATACTTTTAAGAACAAAAAAGCAATCCATACCAACCCATACCATATGGTACAGACTTGTAAGAACAAAAAAAAAACATGATACATAATGATAATAATAATAATCATACAAACTAACAAAGACAATAATAAACAACAAACTAGAAAACATACCTAGTGGCCGATACTCTTTGTTAGTCCGGTAAGTAGTATCAAAACTAATTGAATCACCAAAATAATGATAATCCATCCTCATCTTCCCATCTGCCCAAAAAATACTAGCAATGTTCTCTTCAACATCAACCTCCACCTCATGAAAGAACCCAGGATCCAGTTGTGCTTGACGTCTAAAGTATTCAAACAATGCAGTCGCATCACCATATTCCATTGATAACGTCCTAACCGTTCGCAGATGATTCTTCATATCATTCTTTGTGAACCCAACAAACTTCCGACCACCACCAGCCCTACTAATTGCATTATACGAAGAAGTCACACCAATACCAGCAGCATCATTCACCTCTGCCAACATCTTATACACAGGAGCCATTCGTCTGCTGGATCTCACATAGTGACGCAGAGACTCAGGAATCATGTCATGGTTGTGCACATTACACCAACGATAGATCTTGTAGCATTTAAACTCTTTAAACCACCTCAGTCGTATATAAGCACCATTACATCCACCCCTGAGTTCTGGAACATTACGAACACGAACTGTCGTATCAACAACACCTGCATTATCAGGGTTATTCTCGCTACCTCTTTTCCAACCTTCCTTATTGCAACAATACTTGATATAATATACAGCTGAAGAACCACCATTGAGCTTCGGACACGCTGATTGGTTATAAATCCTCACACCAAAACCTTCATGATTCCCATAATCAACATAAAAATTATATGCATCATCTGGTGTATTAAACTCTAAGTCCTTCCAAGAATCACGAACAGTAGGATCTATACCATTGAAACCTACAAATATTATGAAACAACATATTAAATGGATTCCACACCACAACAGTATGAAATCTCAATGTATACCAATAATTACAGCCATGATACAAGAGTTACCACCATGGTATGGCATGGTAAAATCAAATTACAACACTATACCATATGGTATGGCATGGTAAAATCAAATTACCACACTATACCATATGCTATGGCATGGTAAAATCAATTATCACACAGAACCCTCACATTTAACTTCCTAATTACCACATTTTACCACATGGTAATGTACTGTAAAATCAACTACCACATGATAAGGCATGGTAAAATCAAATTACCACACTATACCATATGGTATGGCATGGTAAAATCAATTATCACACAGGATCCTCACATTTAACTTCCTAATTACCACATTTTACCACATGGTAATGTACTGTAAAATCAATTACCACATGATAAGGCATGGTAAAATCAAATTACCACACTATACCATATGGTATGGCATGGTAAAATCAATTATCACAAAGAACCATCACATTTAACTTCCTAATTACCACATTTTACCACATGGTAATGTACTGTAAAATCAATTACCACATGATAAGGCATGGTAAAATCAAATTACGACACTATACAAACTTCAATAAACAAACAAATTTGTATATCTTACCTCCTGATTCACCAGAGTTAGCTGAATGATCAAATCCAAGATCGATAGATGAAGAAGCAATTCCAACAGCACTAGATGAAGAACCAGATCCTACAACGCTGGTTGAAGAACCAGATCTATCAATTGGAACAACATCGCCACAATTTATGTAACTCATCTCACCAGAATACTACAAAAACACCAAAACACAAAGAACATAACACATGAACAAGCTCGATTAGCTAAACATAAACAAGCTCGACTAGCAGCAATGAAAAACCTCCAACGAAACCAGAGATCAACAGAAAACTCGATTAGCTAAACAGGAAGAATCAAAAAAACTAATATCTAACCTCGTCGTCGATCAATTATGGAGAATCACAAAAGATTCGCCGTCCCCTGTTTCGCAGCAGCTGCTCGCAGTTTCTCTCTACAAAAACCGAATCCAACTCGCGCACACGTCGATCGATTATGGAGAATCAGAAAGCTCGATTCGAAGCTGCTGTTCGCAGTTTCTATCGCCGTCGATCAACCATGGAGAATCGCCGTCCTTGTTTCTCAGCTGCTGCTCCCCTGCTCGCAATTTCTCTCTCCAAAATCCGAATCCAACTCGCGCACACGTCGATCAATTATGGAGACCGAGAATCAGAAAGCTCGATTCGAAGCTGCTGCTCGCAGTTTCTATCACCGTCGATCAACCATGGAGAATCGCCGTCCTTGTTTCTCAGCTGCTGCTCCCCTGCTCGTAGTTGAGACTCTCCAAAATCCGAATCCAACTCGCGCACAGAAAGATTCGCAACGGACAAAAGGGGAAACTCATTAATTCAAATAACGGACAAAAATGCCCCTGACCATCCCGCTTCAATGACAGCCACACGATCCGTCCGCCCCAGATCAACGGTTCCTAGGTGGTTACTCACGGGTGAGTAACAAAGGGTTACTCACCCTATCCTAAGCCCCCATGCTCACCCTCCTTCCGCCGCCGCGTATATTCCAACATCCATTCGTCGACTAAAATCTCATGCATCCGGCAACCGACGACTCGATCTTTTTCCTCCTTCTCTGAAATTAAATAAAAATAAGGAAGAGAAAGTAACACAAACAGTACGACATTTTTAATTTTTAAGGGATAATAATAAGGAAAAAGAAAATGGTTTATTTGTACAAAGGGAGAGAGTTGAACTTAGGGGTGGGCATTGGTGCGGATTGACCCACACCGCACCATATCTATATAAACCGCACCGAACCGCATGTCAATTGGACCGCACCGCATATTCGACCGCAATGCAATCGGTGCGGTCAAACCGAACCGCATTAATTAGAGGTTTGGTGCGGTTTAGACCGCATCGCATGTTTGACCGCAATTCATTTTGGATTATTACACTTTCCGACTTTTCCTGCTTTGCTTTCAGTTCTTATGCGCTTTCATTTTTCAATTTCTCTCCCGCTTTACTTCAAATAATATTTTGCTGACAAAGGAATACTCTGTTTTCGACGATGAAAACAAGGTAGACCAAATTTCCACAGCTGCAAATTTCTTATTGTTTTTTCGTCGATCAATAATGAAAGAATGCAAAAGAAGATCCCCTGTTCCAAATCCCTGCTATGTCGTGAGTGAAAGAATGATGATCATCATGCCTCATGCAGAAAGAAGAACACAACTGGTGATACGTATCACGTATGAACCCCAGCTGAAAATGCAGCTGTGGAGATTTGAAATAATTCATGTGGCAAATAGATCCCATCAGTGCCTCTTAATAATGGAATGAACCCCCTTCTGTTCCTTCACAGTAGGTATTACAATCCCCTTAGGCCTTAGCTGCTACAACTGTTTGCACAACTAAGTCAATTACCAGTAGAAAGTAATGCTAAATTGAGAAGTTGACTAATCCATTAACACTAGAATTTGAACCTCTCGAAACCATTACATATACAAGACACCGAGGGACTTCATTCTTCGACTACCCATCTACACCGTCTTCTAGAAGCTCCAATGGGTATGTCTCCACATTCTCAAGGTCGCGGTCAGCAATTGATCCAAACAAATATTTCACATTTGACAGCTTCTGTGTAGGTTCAAGCAACCTGAAAGCACAGATTTCAAATCATTGTTCACATATGGAGTGAGATGCTAGTTAAAAGTAATTGCTTCTGAACCAACAAGGACAATATGATTGTCAATAGTAGTAGAAATTGCTTCTGAATCCATTCCAACATCATCACTCAGCCTAAACAACAACCTAGTAAATGAGAACATGGCATAAAAGCATAATGACACAAAAAAAAACAACAGAAAGACAGAACTCTATTTATGTGTTAGCAGCAGGCACATTAGTTGTTCTTGCTACTATTCCTTTTCTCCCTTTCTTTTCTGAACTTACCTTGAAGCAATAGTTAGACAATTCAACTCGGATACAGTGCCTATAACTAGCATAAGGAGTCTGAAACCATTTGACCTAACAAGAAAGTAAGCTTAAGTCCAAGTAAACACACAAATAACCCCCTGCACCAGCATAAATTGAAAATTAAACCAGGCCAAGTTTAGGACACAACAACACAATAAAGCTCAAATACCAACAACCCTCGATGCAACACCAAAAGCAACATTGAAGGGGGAAAACAGAATGTACAAATTGAACAGAGGTTGCTTTACGGCTCAAACTCACAAACCCAGTAGAGGAAAATGATGAGAATCACAAAACAAAAGGCAGCAACATTCATTGACAATCTATCCAAATCTAAGAGACACAGCAGCCTATTATATATGTGGTGGGTGTGTGAATTGTGATGCCTTATTATATATGTGGTGGGTGTGTGAATTGTGATGATTGTTTAAGAGATATGTATAGTTATATATGCCTTAGCTTCGATCCCAAGGCTAGCTGAGGTTTCTTTTATAAACCCACAGAGGGGAAGGGAGCTCTCTACAGAACAAATATACTGATGACCACACTCCCACTTGATCCTTCTCTTTTCCCCTTTATCTCATTACACTATCTCTAGCTAGCTAATGATACAGAATATCAATCCTTGCATTATAGACTAACACTTCTCATGTATTTGATTTCATTCATCACAAACAGACTCACCATAAAACCAGTCACACTAAGAACGTAACCATAGTCAAGAAACTCACAGATTCATTACAAGTTTACAACCCTGCGAGCCTTTTGATTTCATTTTGCAAATTGTATCTTCTTTTTCACATATTCATTACAACCCTATAAAGCAGATGAAAGAAAATAGTTGGAAACAGAGTGACCACCATCTCAACCAGCCACAACAACATGAGTATATTAAGAACAAAGATGAAATAAGCAGAGTGACCATCGAAGCTCATCTCCGAGGTCTCAATCCCCTGTGCAGTCGAATCAATTCGGACCCTTGATCCATTCTCAACTAATCAATCCACCAAGCATACCTAATATCTAGATTCCATGCCTAGTAGAAAACCCACGAAGGGGCAAAGAGCTCGAAGGGGCAAACTACCCCCGAATCCATAAATCCCATATATCTTGAAGTTGCCGTTTTCTATTAGCAGATGCAAAAAAGCTTTCTGAGTTCCTGGTCGGTCGCCGCCTTGGCGGAGCTGCAACGGGAACGGGGAGAGGAAAGGTTGACATGAAGAGAGAGGGAGTACCAGAACGGCGGTGCGAGCCGGGATACGGAGGCCGGCGGAGGTGAGAATCTGCTCGTCCGCCGAGGGAAGCCAGGGGAAGGGTCATCGTCGTTACTGGGAAGTTCTCGCCTCTTGGTGATGCGTGACGTCGAGAGGGACGAGAAGCTCAAGAGTCGGGACGGAGACAAGAACTAGTAGGGAGAGGTATCGTCGGCGCTGGTGCTGCCGGCGAGCCTTGCTCTTGACCTCTTGTGGTGAGAAGGTCGGCGGCGCCGACGCTGGGAAGAATAAATCGGGTATGTCATGTATGTGGTGAGAACTGGAGGGCGACCTTTAGATTAGAGATTTACGCATTTAGCGGTTAGCGGTTTTGAACCGTAACCGCGCGGTTTCGGTCGATCCGTATCGCAAACCGCAAACCGCTTAATTATTAGATCGCAAATGAGACCGCAACCTTAATGGTGCGGTTTGGTCCGACCGCACAAGTGATTTGGAGCGGGCGGTGCGGTTTGGACCGCACCAATGCCCACCCCTAGTTGAACTGATCTCACTAGAGAAAAAGCCAGCCTAACCCACTCGTACTCCTTCCTTCACTGATTTCACAGCTATCTTCTCCCTTTCCGCTTTCAATTCCTCTCTCTTAGCTTCCTTTGTGTTACCACCTCTCTCGCTCTATCTATAAAACTGGGGCTTCGTCGTGGTGGGCTTTCTTTCACTTGTAGAATGCGGAGGCGAAACCCTAGCTAGGGGCGAGGTCCTTTCTTATCTAGCTCTTGTTTGTTTCTCTTTCGGAGTTTGGAAGATCCAGACGGTTGTCTCGGCGGTGGATGGGGAATTGCTGCAGATCTCCGACAGCCGTAGCCAGGGAGGACGTGAAATCTAGCTTCTCCGGCCATGATCACACCAAGAAGGACGCCGTCTCGGGCAAGAGTAAACTGCCGATTACTGTGTTGTCTGATGTCGCTAAGGAGAATATCGAGGAGAGGTACCTGATCGATCAAGAGCTCGGCCGGGGCGAGTTCGGGGTTACCTACCTCTGTATCGAAAGGGGGAGTCGAGACTTGCTGGCCTGCAAGAGCATTTCCAAGCGAAAGCTAAGGACGGCGGTGGATATCGAGGATGTGCGGAGGGAAGTGGCGATTATGAAGCACTTGCCCCGGAATTCGAGTATAATGAGCTTGAATGAGGCTTGCGAGGACGACAATGTCGTGCACTTAGTGATGGAGTTGTGCGAGGGAGGGGAGCTCTTTGATCGGATTGTGTCCAGGGGTCATTATACGGAACGGGCCGCTGCTTCTGTCACTGGAACTATTGTGGTAGTTGTCCAGCTCTGCCACAAGCATGGGGTGATTCATAGGGACTTGAAACTCGAAAATTTCTTGTTCGCGAATAAGAAAGAGAATTCGCCTCTCAAGGCCATTGATTTTGGCCTGTCTATTTTCTTCAAGCCAGGTGAGTATCCGACTTGTAGAGATTTGTTCTCTTGATTTAATGATATGAGGGCGTGGTTGCTCGATTTGGGAATTTTGAAATGTAGTGTCATATTAGGCAAAAGCAACTACGTGTGCCCCTTGTTTGGACAAGCTCTCCCTGGTGTCCCATAGTCAAATTTCTGGAAGGAAGGGAAGTTGAAATACGTGTTAATTAGGGGCTGATGATTGGATTAGATTTGCGGCTGTGTGCAAAGAATAACCCGTGAATGGTCTGGAATAAATAAGGGAATCAGGTTAATCATAGAAACATGGTTGGGGTCAAACCTTGGACCGCCATAGCTTAACAGTTTCGTAGTTGAAACGTGCTCATTTGAAACTTGGGATTGAGGTTAGGCTAGTTGACTACAGTTCGATGTGGGCTTTAACTAGTTCTATTCCCCTTTCTAGAATAGCTTCCTTTTATGGATGGCAAGTACACTCAAGACTCCAAGGATGTGGACTGAATTGGCCAAGTTGTCGATCAATGGGCAAAGAATTAACATGCCCTAGCATGTTCCCTTAGTTATCTGCTGTTATAGGTATAGCTCCTATCTGCTGGTGAGATGTTTGTTGGCTACTTTGAAATAATAAAAAGTCGTTGAATTCCTTTGGATGTTGCATAGCAGAGCTAGTTGCCACAAACTTGGTGGGCTTTGAGCTAGCAATACGCCAGAAGGCTTTACTGAAGCCATCTATTAGTTTCGATCTACCTTGCTCTGCTTTGAACTTTCATCCAGGCATATTCTTGCTGCATATCAAATGGATCTTTGTTAGTTCTTGACAGGTCCTACTGCGATGCCACCTCCTTTTGCATGGGATCACGCACCATTCAAGTGATTATGGGTTCTAATAAGTTACCTGCCTAACCTGTAACTGTTGTAGGGGAGAGGTTCTCTGAAATTATTGGCAGTCCATATTACATGGCCCCGGAGGTGCTTAAGCGGAACTATGGGCCTGAAATTGACATATGGAGTGCAGGGGTTGTTCTCTAGATTTGTTGTGTGGGGTTCCTCCATTTTGGGCTGGTAAGTCTTGTTCTCTCTTCAGTTACCGTTTCTTCCGTCTTCTCTCTTTAGATTTTTTATGTGCAAACATGTGCACTGTTCCTCTGTTGCCACACATTTCTACTGCCAATAGATCATTCTACCAAAGGGTTAGCCAGGTAAAACCCTTTTAACCACAAACCAATTTACTTGCCCTTCACTTTAGCAAACTACTCTTCTAATTTCAGAGTCTGAGCAAGGAGTTGCGCAGGCCATCCTCCGTGGAGTCATAGATGTCAAACAGGATCCTTGGCCAAATATTTCTGACAGTGCTAAGAGTTTGATCAAGCAATGTTAGAGCCAGACCCAAAACTTCGGTTAATCGCAAAGCAAGTTCTTGGTGCGTTGAATATTATTTTTATGATGCCTATCTTTCTTAATCACTGCCAGTTCTGGTTGCCGTACGGTTATATATGTATTATCTGTAGAGCATCCGTGGCTTCAAAATGCCAAAAAAGCTCCAAATGCTCCGCTCGGAGATGTTGTCAAATCAAGGCTTAAACAGTTCTCTATTATGAACTGGTTCAAGAGAAAAGCCTTACGGGTTGGTCTTTAATCCGTCATTAAAATCTTTATTATGAATAACGCGTTTGCATATGGAGATATGAACTTCACTTCTTGTGATTAGGTGATTGCGGACTTCTTATCGGTGGAAGAGGTTGGGGACATTAAAGAAATGTTCAAGAAGATGGACACTGACAAGGATGGTGTTGTCTCAATTGAAGAACTAAAAGTTGGTCTCCGTAACTAATCCTAGCTTGCAGAACTAGAAGTTCAATTGTTGGTAGAAGCTGTGAGTATACATAATCTTTATTTATCCGATCAGTGCCAAATCTGTTGCAATATGCCTTGAATTTTTTTTCCATAGTGGGGAAATCAGTTAGACTTGCCATCTGTTACATCTCCTGATTTAAGAATGGAAATGCTTTGGCTGGTGAAAAGTTGGCGTGCATTAGTATACAATCTCGTTTTCCCCCGAATAGCACACTTTGTGAAAGAGTTGCATCTTTCCACAGAGAATATTGTAGGTTTTCATATTGTGGATCTTTTGGTTTTCTTTCCCTGCTCTCACTCTAGATCAAAGGAACTAGCTCTCCGTGGACACTGAAAGTAGGTTCTGCGTTGCTGCGCATCTATAAGTTTATTAAGTAGCTGAGTCTCTTTGGAAAATTGGATAAAAGGGAAAACAAGTTCCTATTGGGTTCTGAACCAAAAGTGTCGTGACCTTTCATAGTTTGTTCCTTTGTTAAATGAAATCATCCTTGTTTTATGATGATAACAAGTAGATACAAATGGGAAAGGCACGCTGGACAACAACGAGTTTCTTGCAGTTTCACTGCACCTACAAAGAATGGCACATGACGAGCATCTGCAGAAGGCCTTCTCGTACTTTGACAAGGATGGGAATGGTTATATCGAACCAGAGGAGCTCCGGGATGCTCTAATGGAAGATGGCGCTGATGATTGTACAAATGTAGCAAACGACATCTTCCAAGAAGTGGATACAGACAAGGTAAGGGGAGGATTTCTCATTTTTGGCTCTACTCCTTTGAAAATTGGCGGAGATTGGCAACAATACTTTGTTCTCCTCCAACAATCAACAATTGCATGATATTGCAGGATGGGAAAATCAGCTACGACGAATTTGCGGCGATGATGAAAACAGAGACAGACTGGAGGAAAGCTTCTCGACATTACTCGAGAGGGAGATTCAACAGCCTAAGCATCAAGCTGATGAAGGATGGTTCACTGAGCTTGGGAAATGAGTAAGGATTGAAGAACGGAAGGAAGTCCAACATTTGAGCAGCACATGGTCACCGGAATACACATCTTAAATAGTCTGCTTTTTTGGGGTTATCACCCCCCCCCCCCCCCCCCCCCCCCCCTTCTTATTTGGTGATTATGGGCTTTTCATGATGAGGGTGGGAGGAGATGGAGCCAGCCCATTGGGGCATATCGCCCTTGCTTTTGGCAAATGCAAAAGGTGTTAATTGTGCAGAAAGTGTGGGCGGGGGTCGGTTGCATGTAGCCATGGGTAGGGGATGTGTATGATGACGCTTCTCCTCTCCTCTCCTCTCCTTCCTTTTGCTTGTTACTTGGCTTTTGGGACAAAACTTGGTGCTTTTTGTTTCTGATTTTTAATTTGGTTATGATTTCAGGATGCCAGTCAAATTGGGTAGGTTGCAAGTGCAAGGGGAGGAGGGTTGTAGTGATACATTGTTATTCTTGGCAAAGCCAAAATCGAGAGGGAGTTGTGGATACATCACATGCTTCTCGTTTTTGTGCCGTCCACCATTGTTCTTTTGAAATTTGACCTCTCCACCACTAGTAATAGTAAATCTCCTCTGCAAAAGAGAAAGTGGCTGGCTGCCTGGCTAGTAACCATGAAAATAACAAGTGATTTGTGTTTGTGGGTTTGTTTGCCCCACTTTTGCTTCTATCTTTATTGGAAATTCTAATCGATCAATTTGATTAAATTGTCTTATTTTAGGACAATTGGGTCAAATTAACCCGTTTATCAGCATAAATTTTATATGAAACAATTTGATTTCCAGAATTTCAAATTAACTCGTTTTGAGGCAATTACAATTGTCTAAAGTGGGGCTGGAAATTTGAATTTACTCATTAAATCGAGGCAATTAGCTAAATTATATCGTGTTCCAACTAATCCCCTATCCAAGACTTTTCTGTAAGTGCGGTGGATGTTCTTCCCTTGTTATTTTTATGTTTTTTTTATAGGTTCCCTTGTTATTATCAAACTAGTAATGACCCACTTATTAAGTGATCTGCCGAAAGGGCTTATTTGACTGATCGAATCTTCCAGTAAAATATTTCAGAAATATGACCAAAGACGCAAGATAGGTACCACATATGGCTAGACAACAAATCCTCCTTTCCAATCCTATATAGACGTTCCGCGTGGGAACCTAAGTAATTGTAAAATTGCAGCTCCCAGCGCAACTCAAGGAAGGGCCTCTTGGTAATTGTGGAGGAGGTTTTTTTTTTGTCACACTTTTGTACTTAACTTGCTTCCTCTTCTACCAAGCTTTGGCTAAAGCAGAATATGTATGGGCTTAGCCATAATTTGTTACTTGGTTCCCCTAATTTTCCTTCTAATCCAACTAAAAGATATCCGTAAATTCAAATTATAAATCATAATGATCTTTTAAAACATAGTTCATTTTTAATACATAATCTAATTTTTAAAACATGAGGGTTTATCATGTGGGTTTCATTTCATTGTAAATTTAGTTTTAGTTACATGCAAAAAAATTAATTTTTAATTGTTTGTACTCTAATTAAACATACGCGGTAGATCATATGCAACCAAACTACTGGTGAAAGAGCCTCTTATGCCACTATATGGGCAGCTCTGTGAAAACTTCAACACGATAATGACTCAACAAAGATAAAGATCGTGATCTTCCTCTAGAGGCCCAACTCGAGAGTGAAAACGTTTTTTTATTGTTGTGTTTTAATTGTTAGTAGATTTGTTAGATATCATGTGGGATGCATGTCACTATAACTTTTAGTTATGGTAACATAAAATTTTAGCCATTTGTAGATTTTTTGAAAATATTGATGAATGAAAATTCTAAAAATATTTTATTTTAGAAATATAATTATTATTTATTCATTAATGAAAAACATATATAACTTGGAAATAATGTTATTCTCATGTATACCCAGGGTTGGGACACATTAAAAATACTATCAATTTCAAGATTGTAAGGTTACTTTATGGAGCAAGATATAGGTACACAGATGATGCCATTCACGCAATTAGGTAATAATATTTACTTTCCCATTATTTTCAACTTATTTAATTTTTCAGAAAAAATAAACATCAAATCCACTAAATACAAAAAATTATTTTACGAAATAGTGAATCTCATTTTTTGTCAGTTGACATATTCAGAATCCCAATTATTATTGTAGAAAAAATGGCTAAGTCTAACTTGATTGTTCTAGATCACAAGGAAGCTAGAGGTTTCGGAATGCATGCTAGGAAACTATTCCAAGCATGTGACAGAATGAGAGGAGCTCCACTTTTTTATCTCCTACAAATTGAGGAAACAAAGTTGAAGGTCGAGATTAAGCACACCGATTACAAACATCATGGATCCTATTAGTGAGTATGCAGTTTTGAGCATAAGGAGGGGACAATTTTACTTAGCTTGCACTAAATAATATGTCATATTTGCAAACATTTACTATTCAATTTTTTCTTTCAATAAAAGTCAAGAAAATAAGAAAGACTTTGCCAATGTTGGAGTTAGTGAACTTGATGAGGGAGAGGATCTCGGCTACGATTTCAATTAATAGAAAGATACAATTAAGGGGAATTAACCAAATTAAGGAGATAAATAGAATACAGGAAAAAGAAAGTATTAGACTAGATAGAGACTAGGAGAACTAAGAGGAATTTGAAGAAATTTTATAAAAATTTGAGGAGACGTAATACAAAATTAAGGTTTGGAGGCAATAATGCTTGGATGGCTAAAATTATAAATATATATATATATTCAAAAATATTGTTACCCTCAATGATAATAAGTAATCCTTCATCAATCCATCCATTTGAATGATTATTCCTATCAACAATCAAGGTGAATTTGTATAGAACTTCTTCATATACTTTAAGTTCAAGGTCGATGCATTCTATTTCAAATTCACTCCACCTTTCACTTTCACATTGAACTCACTATGCCAAAAGAAAGGTTCTCACTACGCAATCTGAATGGAAGCTCATGGCATGTATGCCTTCTATCTCCACGCATGCAGTCATCATCACAAAAAAATTCATAATATAATTCTAAAACTTTAATAATTATCATTCAAATTCCAACGGGTCATCGAGTCCAGATAAAATTAAAGAGTGTTTAAAAGAAAATTTGAAATGATTTGTAAGAAGTAGTAAAATAAAGTGTAGCAAGATAAATTTTATAGGAGTTGGCTTCTTTGCACCATTGCATAGGTGCAACTTTTATCGATAAAACAGTTAGAATGTTGAAAAACTTTGATGATTCATGTTCCTTTGTGATATTTCAATAATTTAATCATTTGAATATTATATGATACTAATAAAAATGTATATTACTTTGTACAATTGTGGTTATTGTTTATATTGTTAACGAAATGCATCCGACCAACGGCGGGCCCAAGATCTAGTTTACAAAACATATAATATTGAAGAGTAAGATTTGCTACAAAGTGAGCAGTTATGTGAAAGCTTCCATGAACAAAAAACCTTAAATTAACAATAAGGACAGAAAGAGAGAGAAAACATACATGTTGACTCGCTCTAACTATCACAATAAAATTCCACCTAAAGTCCAAGTTTAGGATACCCAATTTGTGGGTTCCAGGCCCACGCTCGCGCTCCAATTCGCTAAAATGCGAATTTCCGGCAATGCGTTGATAATTCGTGAATTGATTTTGGTGGGAGCGCGAATTACTTTTGTGGGACCGCGAGTTTGTTTAGGGAGAACAAAAATCTGATTAAAGAGGCCCTTTCAAACATAATTTTGGAAAAACAAAGTTTGAGCTATTAATTTGGTTTGCTGGGGGAGTGGGAACAAGCTGGTCGAGAACACTGCAACAATCAATTCTGAATGGATGCAGGAGATTGCCGACTATTAGTTGTTGCCTTGCTGGATAGAATTACTGTCACTTCTGTTTGGGTTTTGGAACAGAAATGGGCATTTGGAACAAAAATATGGATGAGAAGCCCAAAGAACATTCAATCTTGGACTCTTTAAATTTATGCAATAATCTTCGACTTTTGTTTAGTTTTACTTAAAATTTCAAATTTTATGACATGAAAGAATGGAAAGAAGGACTGATAGATTCTAAATGTCGTTGTGAAATATACTACACTTCCATTTAATTAAACATTTATTCATTAATTTTATATGGTTTATTCCTTGTTAATATAAATATAGTTGAATAAAAAATTATAATAAATAATATAATAATGACGCTTTCTTCACGCTCTCAATTAAAAGTTCTTATGAAATAGACGTACTCACGCTCACGCTCCGCGAACTAGCTATCTAAGTCCAAGTATAAACCATAGATGAGTGCAATATAGGGAAAGTATGTTTAAATATCGACTCAGGCCGTTCCATGTACTGCTACTTCGACTGTTTGAAACATTATCTAGTGGATCTGTTTTGGTGAAAACAAAGATTGAAACCTAAATTACTTTGCAAAGGTAAAATGGATTTGACTCTAGTTGAGAAAGCTTCACCCGAGTGTTGCTCCCCCTAGCTAACAATTATGACTCGAAGAATCGAACGACCGTGTGTGGTTAGGGGGTCATAAACCGCAGGAAAGTCTAACAAGCAACCAAAGTTACCCTCTTAGATTCTAGGTTGAGGAATGAGATATGATCCAAGCAACTGATGTGACCCTCTCAACCTATCTACTAAGGATTAGTTAGACTTCACCCTCGAATTGAAGTTCGGACGGCCACCCACAACCAAACCCTAAGTGTTTAATACGAATTAGGAGGTTTGCCCTTTAACTAACCTAGACTATGGGGCATAGAATGCCCAAAGAAACCCATCTCTAGAAGAGCCTCTTAAGTTAAGGGGGTTTCTCTCTAAACTAGGTTAGAATGACAATTAGATTGATAGGCTTTCACACAACACAATCATTTCTGAATAATACCTCCACATTCACATTAAAGCACATCCACACACACATCATTCAATTCATACAAGCATTCACATAATTGTAGCTAGGGTTTACAAACACCAAGTGAAACAAGGACTACTCCATGCTAGGAGAAGGGAAAACACAAAAGAGGAAAATGAAAACCATCATGAAGAGGCAAGCCTTGCTCCTTGTGTTGAAGAAAACCCAAATCCTTTCTTGGCGATTATTTGTGGGACTACGTACAGCATGAGGGAGCACGTACGTAGTAGGTTGGGTAGTCCTCATTTGTTAAGTCTTATTTGTTTTAGGGTCTTTTGGTAGTTAGCATTCCTAGTTAATCGTGGAAAAGGAATTGCAGTAGACCCTATATATATGTCTTGGCAGCCGATCGGCTAGGGTTATGTCTTTGGGTTGTAACGGGAAGAACCCTAATAAATGTTCAGCCAAAGACTCCTTTGTGAGTCTTCCGTGGATTAGTCTCGTTCTCACGAACGAGGATACCACGTAAATCGTTGCGTTTGTGTGTTTATTGCATGGTATCAGAGCGGTGACAAAATCATGGCCTCCAATGATGAGACGACGAAGTCATCCGCGACTACAGTGAAGAGTACTACGAGCGGCAGCGGAGAAGGTTTTCCTCCGATGCTCGTTCTCTCTCATTATGATAGTCCCAACTAGTTGTTCGTTGGGGAGCTCCTCACCGATTCCAACTATGGTGTGTGGCTTGGTGATATTAAAGATTCATTTATTGCTAAAAATAAAATGGGTTTCGTTGATGGATCCCTTCCCAAACACGCGGATGGCGTACTTCTGGAACAGTGGAAGCGG